ACTTTTAGTCACTTTATTACTTGACGACCGCGTATACTTGCGTGTGCGTTTGGCCGCAACAATACCTTGCCTACAACTCCTCTGAGATTTGCTGGTATTGAATTTCTTTTAGATCCCTTTAATTCTTTGTAATAATGGTATTGGTCAATGGAGTCACCCTTTTTATTAATACGATTGAAGTTACATTAATGGAAAAAGGGGCAAAATCTAGGATCTTTTCTGCCAAATGAAATGAGTAGTAGTACCAAACAATCAGCATACGTCATTTTGGTAAGGTCATTGTTTGCATCACAAGGCTGTCTAATTAATTAATAATTTACTATACAAATCATAAACTTATACCCGTTTGGCAAGCGGTAAAAATTAGCTTATTTGGAGAAGTGTCTTTTCTCAAAAGTACTTTTGGTGAGAAGCAATTTGTGTTTGACTAATTAATTTTAAAAACACTTCTGCGCAACAATTAGTGTTTGGTCAAGCTTTAAAAAACTGTCTCTAAATATATTTTTTTTAAAAGTGCTTTTCAAAAAAGTATTTTTTGAAAATAAACTACTTTTTTCTACTTGTCCTCAAAAGTACTACTTTTTTCTTTCAAAAGCTCGGTCAAACACCTTAATTTTAGAAAAAAATACTTTTGACCATAAAAAAACGTTTTTGCTTCAAAAGAAGCTTGGCCAAGCAGGCTATTAATTAGCTAGTATTAACGAGTTACCCTAGATGCCTCAGAGAAAGGTATGAGAGGTTGGAAGCGATAGGTCCAAGGAGAGGTAGGAGTAGACCGAGAAAGAATTGGCGAGAGATGATAGGACAGGACATGACACATCTTTACCTTACTGAGGACATGACCCTAGATAGAAGAGCTTGGAGGTCAAGGTCGGGATTAGAGTAAAAGGATAGTAGGTAGTCGAGCAATTTTTCTCTCTTTCTTGGGAGAGCATGATTCTAGTTTAGAGCACCTTATGTGCTCCCACTTCTATTTATCATCGTTATTATTAGTATTCTAGTATTATCTTATTCTTCAATTTAATTAGTACCGTTGTTTCTTTTACTTTGATTTTTTTTCCACCATTTTTCTGGCAATATTTTTTTTCTTTTATTTCATCATTGGTTTTTCACTCTTGGAAGAAAATACTTTTCTTTAGTTGAGAGTCAATTCGAAAAAACAACATCTCTATGCCATATTCTCACCCGACTCCACATATGAGATTGCATTGGATATATTGTTGTTGTTGTTGAATGAGTTTAAATCTCTATATGTTAGCTATTAATGAATCCTCAATCTCTAAACAATTAAATAATCTATAAGCTTTGCAATACCTTTTTTTCTAAAACCACACGTTAAATTTTGAGCGACACTTAGAGAGTGGCAAGATATATGGCAGAAATTCCCAAAGGGTGTGATCAGTAATTTGGAACAAGTTTTAGGGTGTATTAATGCCGTCTCCAAAACTTAAAAGGTTTAAAGTGTCAGAATTTAAAAATTAAGGGGATGACATGGCATTTAAGAAAAAGCATAGTCTTTTTGCCGATGGCAAACGCCGCCGTTAGCCCATCGTTCATTGCCCTTGTCCCCAATTGAATTGAAGGAAAGAATAGCTTCTTTTCTACCACTGGTAAGGTCAAGTGCAGGAATGCAATGGCATTAAAATCAGTATTCGATGCTTCAGTCATTAGGTCTGAATTCGACAAGGCCAGCATCAACACTCGCTTCATCCCGCTTATTTGGAAGTAAGTTTATCCGTCTCTTCCTTTGTGTGTCTTATTAATAAGTAACACAAAGTTAGAATTTTTTTCTTTGTGTTGTTTTGCTCACGATATTTGTATGTATAGGTATGTAATACAGAACCCAGATTGCGATTGGGAAGATATTCCATCTCTGCCCTCCTCGGCTTACACTTTGCTTCGTTCCAAGTTCAGAACTTCAACTTCTGTTGTCCACTCTGTCTTGGAGTCCAGCGACGGCGTCACCACCAAGCTCCTCATCAAGCTCCAGGTTTTACCTTTTAGCTGACCCACCCCACAGCTTTTTAATTGGCCATGTTAAATTCGTATTTCATGTTCAATTTTATCATAAGAGGAAAGGCAATTCACTGACAACAGCAGCAAAAAGGGACACAAAACTGCTATTCAAAAACTATATCATTTACAATCCCCCATTCCTTGAAGATGAGAGTATGTGCAAGATTTTGATTATTTCCCAATTTGAATTTGTACTATTGTTCTAATTTTATATATTTGTAGGCCTGATGCATTGGTTTGCCTGCTTTAAATGTTTCTGATTGTATCTGCTTATTAAGAAAAAGGGTGACTCTTGCTTTACAGTATATCTGATTGACACTGGTTTTCTGATAAAATATCTCATTGACATTGTTAAATGCTAGAATGGAACATTTGTGGAGTCTGTGATTATGAGATACGACACACGTTTGGGGAAATATAATGGAAAGCCTCGTCCTGGAGGACCAAGATCAACCTTGTGCATATCGTCTCAGGTATGTCATTTCATTAACTCTATTTATTTATTAGTAAAAGGCCCGTTCCTTGTATATTAGGTGCAAATTATTTCTTTCCTTTTGCGTGCCTAAGTATTTTGTGTTTTGTTCTCTTAGAAAGCCATTTTATGTTGACCAGACACTTTTTTCGTAAAGGTTGGATGCAAAATGGGCTGCACATTCTGTGCTACAGGAAGCATGGGGTTCAAAAGTAACCTGACTTCTGGAGAGATAGTTGAACAATTGGTCCATGCCTCTCGTTTATCAACCATCCGGAATGTTGTTTTCATGGTATTTCTTTTCTCCTTTGTTCATAATTGCTTTTCTCCATAATAGCAGTTGTCTACTCAGTGGTGGATCTAGGATTTGAGGGAAGTGGGATCTAAGTTCTAAGTGCCGCTATTCATTTTGCTCTATCACAACGTGCTTTCTGAAACCCTGTCTCTCTCTTCTCAGTTTCACTCTGCTCTCTGCAATTTTATGACATCCGTGATTAAGAAGAAAAGAGAGAGAGAGTTCAGAATAATGTTACAGTTTTTGGTCTATGCATCTTTAGTATGGTTGTTAGAAACGGGATGGTGGGCACCCAGAGCACCAACGTTGTGTCCATTTATGGATGAGTTCAGCTGTACGAGTCATGCTTGTGCATCAGTTGCTGTAGTGAGTTCTTGTTGAGGTTACTTGATACTGATGCAACTAGAGGGACATTCTTCTATAACTAAGAAGCTATATCTTTTTTGCCATTTTTCTTTTCTTGTCCAAAAAATTTAAAAAGCTATCCATATTAAACAACATACCCAGTGATTTCCCACAAGTGGGGTCTGGGGAGGGTAGAGTATACGCAAACCTTACCCCTACCCTGGAGGGTAGAGAGGCCGTTTCTGGTAGACCCTCGGCTAATATCCATATCAAATAAATAGGAACAAATTAATGAATTTAACAGTTTATCATCTAGAATAACATTGAGTTACTTTAAGTACAGACAATAGTAGTTTTTTCCAATAGCTGCCTAATGCTTGTGTTTTTTATGGGAATATCTAGGTAGATTTCAAATGTGAAATCATCCAGTCAAAATGACTAAGAATTTTGGATCTCTTCATGTTTTTTGACTTTCTTGGTTCACTTTAAGTGTTATATCTTTTATTTTTTGATTTGTTTCGACTCTACTCATTCTTGAGTCTTCATTTTTGGTTGCATTATCATTCAACTGGTGGACAGGGAATGGGGGAACCATTGAACAACTACTCTGCCCTGGTAGATGCCATACGTGTCATGACAGCATTTCCCTTTCAGCTCTCTCCTAGGAGAATTACAGTCTCAACGGTATGAATGACCCTGTGATGTCTTTTCCTCTCAAGTTACAATGTTGTATGGTTTCTCACCTGGACATAATTAGCTGTTTAGTTGCATGCTTTTATAGATCACATGAACATCAATATAACCAATTAAATGTTTGTAGGTCGGGATAATTCATGCTATCACCAAGCTCCACAATGACGTCCCAAATGTGAACCTGGCTGTCTCTTTGCATGCACCAGTCCAAGAAATCCGTTGTCAGATAATGCCTGCAGCAAGAGCTTTTCCTTTGGAAAGACTCATGAATGCACTGCAGGAATATCAAAAGAAAAGGTGTTCTGCCATTGGCCTGTTATATTTCAGTAGCATTCACTCTCTCCCCATTTTATATTATTTATATTATGCCATTTGAGTTGCTTGGAGATTAAGATATTAGTTTAACTTATGTATCATTCATTTTTGGACCGTTCCAAGATGGAAAGAGTGGCATAAATGAAGGCACATAAATTATCTTTAATGTCCATGATAACCAATTTGGTAGCTTTGGCAAGTTGCTGAAAGATCTTATCTACCTTCTTTGTAGCCAGCAAAAGATCTTTATTGAATACATAATGCTTGATGGAGTAAATGATGAGGAGCAGCACGCGCATCAGCTCGGGAAATTGCTAGAAGCATTTCAAGTGGTGAGTTTTAAGCATATTATATAGATTACACCCTAAGGGTAGGATGTGAGCATGTATGTGGGTTAGTTTATGCTTAACGCACTTGAGCTGTATCCGTGGATGCTTTCCAAACGAAACCATTACTTGGTGGGAAAAGAAAAAAACGGGGAGAGAGAGAGAGAGACTATATTGATCAGCCAGCAGACAGTGGGGGGCTAAGACCTATATAGCTATACAGTTCATTTCGTCTTTTACTCGCGAAGAATTTGGTAACAATGGCTTTGCATTGACATCAAAATATTCTCACAGGTTGTGAATCTCATACCTTTTAATCCAATTGGATCATTAAGTCATTTCAGTACCAGTACCAATCAGAAAGTCACCACGTTTCAGAAAATATTGAGGGATACCTATGATAT